TATTATATTATTATTATTATTAGCCATAGAGTAGTGAAACCGAGGCTAAAGTAGTCCTGTTTTGCCATATTTACAGTGTCATTGGCTAAGTTCACACATCGAAAGCATTGAGCTGTTTCCTCTGCACTGCAGTTTCAGGGATCCTCGGCTGCAACTCATGGGGTGCCAGGAGGGGGTTCGTTGCTCCCTGCCATGCCTTACCAGCCCGGCCTCCTTTCCCTAAATGCTGGGTGCAAATCAGGATGTGGGAGGGTTAACACAGCCTCCCGAGCACTGCCACCCTGGCCGGCCCCATGGGGAAGGCAAAGAAGGCCTTTCTCTGTGATGCGCAACCTCCCCAGCCCCCCCCCCGGGAACCCCAGCAGCTGGTGCGGCAAGCCCACAGTGACACCGAACTGTGATTGCGGGTCCACTTGGGATTGGCCATGATTTCTTCAGTTCCACTGCATGCTGACTCTTGGGACCCTTGGGGACCGGTCAAGTCAGCCGGCTGCTTCTTTGCTCTTCCTTGTGGTGAGGATTGTAGGAAGAAGGCCGATGACCTTGCCCTTTGAGCTCACTTTCATTTCCTCCACTGCCTGTTTCTTTGCATTAAGCCAAATTCTCCCTCCTTTCCCAGATGACAAAGGAACTCCTTTGGACCTGCTGTTGCCTAGAGAGCTTTTGACTGCTGTAACACACTATTGCCATTTGATTATGTTTGCAGGGCGGGGTGACTAGTATACTTTAGGGTGGTAGGGGACTTCTGAACAGGTTTGTTTGCCACGAATATGCAGAGTTGAACATTGAATATACTGTGTTTTTTGTGGGTTTTTTTTCATGTTTCGGGTTGATTTTGTGTTGTGGGTCCTTGTCTTTCACCAAAGGAAAAACACACTAAATTGTACGAAGTGGAGCATGGTTTTAGGTGAGGTCAGTGTTCCTAAACTTCATTTCCCTTTGTTGCAACAAAGGATTGTTATTTTTGTCTAGATTTCTGCCTGTCTTTGCAAGAAGACCTGTTGACTTCCTGTGTGCCCTTGGAAAGTTGCAGAAATCACTTCAGCTCTGTTTGCAACAAGTGTGTGCCAAGGCACCTGGTGCCTGTTGAGCTAAGTGCCAAGATGAAGAGATCCTGTTAGGTCCTTCTGTTGAGTGATCTTACAAAGAACACAAACATGGGTTGTTAAAGACCTTTGGTTAATCCTTAGAGACTTTAAAGAGCTGAAAAGAATTGTTACTTGCTAGGGGCAGCCTTCTCCAGTCCTGTGGCCTGCAGAGATTGGCACTACATCTCCCAGCACTCTTGATCCTTGGCCCTGCTCCTAGGCTAATGGGAGTTGAAGTCTGGAAGATCTGTAGGGTGTCAGCTTGGCAAAAGGTACATCACAGCCTTCTCACCCCTAATACTTCTCTTCCTGCTAAACGCCATGCCATGCCATCTTTTTTGGGTTTTCTTCATCCCAAATGGTTTGGTTGGCTTTGCATTGTGGGTGTGGGTGTATAGGAGAGGGATTCTTTTTCAAGAAACATTCTCTCTCTCTCTCGTTTTCAGTGCAGTCTTAAATATTGCCATTAAAGTAAGTTAGGATTGTGTAGAGGAATCTGCAAAGAAGGGGATTGATGGGTTGCTTTGCTGCATTTTTCTCCATCTCCTCTGGTGCAGTGCAAACAGCACATCCATAAGCACACAGCACAACGTATTTGGACAAAACTTCTTCCATTTTCTAACATCTTTGGTATTGTATAGGAAAGCAGGAGCGCCATGTGGCCGTGTGTCCTGTAAATGTCTTGTGTCCTAATTCATTCTGCATTAAAATGCAACTACTATGTTTTGTTAACTTAAAAGTGTATGAAAATAATCTCCTTTTTTATGGTGAGACCTGTTTATTGTTCCTTTATTTGGAATGTTCTTTTTTAAAATGTCTAAGTGTTTATCATATTTTCTTCCTTTTAAATGAAGTGGAAGGACATCCCGTGTTTTAAAAATTAGTCGTATGTGGAAGGCTGAGGAACTGAAGAACCCACCTCTTTTGGGAAAGGGGAAAGGATATCAGCTGTGTAATTTGAAGGTTGTTTATAAATTTCTTCGTGTGTGTGTTTGTTTTTAAAAGAGTCATCTAGCACTAAGCAGTTCTTAGATCAATCTACTTTTCTGTTTGCAGAACACAGATTTGATCATTCTCCTAGTAGTGATTTTAAACAGCCAGTTTTCCTCTACACATATATGGGTCCAGGAACTCGTTTGTGCAGAGAGTATCTACCTCGTATGTACGAGATTCTTCAGAGGTTCAGGCATTGATAATTTGTGGTGGAAGATGCTTTTCCACCAGACTGACAGCCATAAAGGGTTGGCAAGGGGCAACGTGAACTGCATCCTAAGTCCAGTTCATACAAAGACATTTGCTGTGTGTAACGCATTCCAGGCATCGTTGTGTTCTGTTTCTTTGAAACCTGTTGGCAGTGAAGTAAGAATTACATTACAGAAGAAGAGTTCTGCCATTTACTGAGCGCTGCACGCTTTGGAAAAGGATAGGGAGGCTGGATGGCAATGTGGTGGAGGGGAGAAGGCACAGACTCTTGTGTGGTCTGTAGAAGCAAGACAAAGCAAGTGTGGTTGGTTGGTTGCGTGGTGGTTTGTAACTGACCCCGGCCAGGATCCTGAGGGATTTCATGGCATGTGGAAGGGTAGCGGTACTTAGCAGTTCCCTCCTTTTGCAGGCTAGGCTGCCTGTTGGGCGGTCAGTTACATGGCCGAGCAGGTAGCACACACACCTGCCATTGTCTTCTGCACCCTTAGACTCTCGTCAGCTTTTTGCCCATATACCTTGGACAGTATTCAGTTATTTTCTCTCTTTTGGAACGAATTCAAAACCTGTAGCCAAATTAACACAACCGCTTTCATATAATTGTGTGCAAAGCAGGATACAACTTCAGCAGTTCAGAAAATAACCAGACCGTGGGCAACCAGGGACTTGACATTTTAGTGTGTGTGTGTATATGTGTGTGTATGTATATGTATGTGTACATATAATGCCATATCTATTTGACACTGCATTTTACTTCACTCTACTATTTCCTGTTCTGTAAACTGCTCCCTTCCCACCTTCTTGTATTATATGACTCTTTAATCCTTTTTTCAGGACTCCTTTTTTGCTGGAGCTTCCAACAAATGTGTGTTTATTGAGAACAGTCTTGCTGTTTAGTTTTCTTCTGTACATAGTTTTCTATTGAAATCTGCATGAAAGAGACCTTCGTGTCCAAAACCAATGTACATAATTCTATGTATAAAATGCAGTCTCTTTCCTAATTCTTGTGTGGACTAATTCCAGTTGTAACGTTCTGGCGCCGCTGCTTAGGGCCAGTTGACTAACAGCGAGTCTTCTCTTTCTTTCTTTTTTTAAAGTAACGTTGTACATCCCGCAGAAGCAAAATCTGACACAGTATGTAAACTACATGTTTTATATAACATTCTCCTCTCAGCTTCCCATGGTTGCTATTCCTCTGGAAGTGAAATGGGACCATGCAAATCAAAAGAGTGTTTCCAGCATATTTGACAACTTTCAAGGTATGTGAAAGATGATTTTAAATGGCAGCCAACGATTTCATCTCCAGTAAATCGTATGTGCTGGGAAATCGTCTTCCGGGTTTACACCCTCCTCTTGTTTCTGTCCAAGAGAAAAAAACCCATGTTCCCCATTTCCAATGGTCATGTCCTGAAGGTCCCTAGAGGAGAGGTACCTGGCGTGACTTGCCTCCTCGGAGCAGTGGTTTTGTTAAAGCCATCTTGAAAGCTTTGTGGCCTGGTTGATTCAGCCAAGAAAGCTGTACCTGGCCCCATCACATCTCGAGCTCGTCAAAAAGGACTAATGAATTACACTCTCCCCGCATGGCGCTCTTAAAAGTGGAGTTCCAGCCAAGACCAAGCTTCTCTTTGACATTTTATCCATCTTGCTCTATTGATTGTTCTGTTTACAGGAGGCAGGACAGATGGTTAAAGAAATGAAACGCCTTTTGCCGGGATGTTTTTCTGTCAGGGAAGTAACACAGCCATCGCCCAACCATCCACCTTCTTTCATCTTACCTCCAAGTAGTTTCCTCTGGTTTAACAGAAATGGAAAATATTTATGCCCCGCCTTTCTTCTCAAAAAGGACCCTAGGCACTTTAGAACAAGCAATATAAAAACCAAAAGAGGGTAAGACAACATAAAAAGCCCACCGTTGGGCGGTGAGCCATTGTGTGAAAGCCTGTCTGAAAAGCAAGCCTTTGCCTGTCTGTGGATGGATCATGAAGGGGGGGGGGCAGGCCAGCCTTCTGTGGGAGGAGGGATTTCCACAGCCCGGTGGGGGGGGACGAGCAGCACCAGAGAAGGCCTTTTCTCATGTTCTCACGAAATGCAGCTTTATGGGTGGCGGATGGAGACCCCAAAAAACTAGCGGGTTGATAAAGGGGGAAGCAGTCTTCCAGGTAGCTGGTGGTTTACCAGCCACACTTCAAATTGGGTCTAGAAACAGTCCGGCAGCCAGGGAAGCTACTGTGAATGCACACACAAGATTTTCTTGCACGTGCGCAGACAGCCTTCAAATGTTCCAGAGAATGACGGCTTTGGACTTGCATTCTCCTCCTCTGCTCCTGACCACTGCCGGGACTTGGCCATTCAGCTGTGTGATGAAGCCAGGAATATACCTACCCTGTGAGTCCAGGAGGAATCAAACCCAATCCATGACAATGTGAAACGGTATCCTCCGATCTGCCTTGTGAATGACCAGGAGAATATCTTCTGTCTTGTCCTATAGGTCAGATAGAAAGGAGGGCAGAACAGGACCGTGAAGGTTGTCGTAGGCCAACGGCTACTATTTTGACCGCAGCTATTAGTATGTCCATTTTATGTCTAGCCTGGCTCCCCAGTGGGGAGTTACGTTTGATGAGTATAGCTTTTTCCTGCCCGCCTCACCTGTGACATAAGGAGATGGGCCAGACTGAGAGGTGATGGATGGTCCACACTTACCCAGATGTTCTCAGAGAGGGGGAGGTGGATCCAAGCCAAGCTGTGGCAGGTAAGCCAGTCCCCTCCTAGGTTGAAGCACGAGACAGGGGGTAGCGGAGTGTCCAGGCTGCTGGGAAATTGAGTTTGAAGCAGATACTTTCCATGTGGGGTCATCTAGCAATCTGAGGGTTTGACTTTCACCAGCACCTGCCAGCATGGCTGGTAGTGAGGGGTTGATGGGAGCCATAAGCCAGAGCTTCAGTTTATTCCAGGTCAGAGAAAGGTGGCTCAGCTGAATGTAAATGAACTTGGCTACTATATATTGCTGAATTGTGTATAGCGGGAATGCTGATCTGGTGCCATCCATATGTTTAGAGGGTCCCATCCACCCTTCCCAACATGGGAAGACTATCCAGAATATCAAGGAAGGCAGCGGGCTAGTGACAGCTGTCTGCATCCTGCCTCATTCGTGCCTGTTATGAGTGTCTGTGCCTGCTGAATTTCAGGACCTACTGTATCCAGTTCCTAGCCATTCCCAGCAAAGCAAAGGCATCATCTATTCATTGCATGATCCTCAACTGCCAGCAGGCTGACATTGCTTGGCTCTCGCTCTCCCCCCCCCCCCCCCTGCTCTTTCAAATAACAGCAATCTCTGGGAAGGATAAATTGAGCACGACAGGCTGTGACCCAGCGAGGAGCGATGGGCTTAAGCGGGATCTTAAAAGCCCCGTTCTGTTCTTTAATGTTTCATGGAACAAAGACCATAGCACCCAGACCATGGCCCCTCCCTTTGTGGGACAAAGAAAAGGAAGAGCTAAAAACAGCCTGTCTTTTATCCCTGGGCTGTTTCACCACATTCTCCAAGGGTCGATTCTTTGGAGCTGCTGTTCCTTCCACTCCACAGCAGGACTCTGAGGAGGCAGGGAAGCAAGGTGGCTCCAGTCGACAGGTCAAGTGGAAGCAAGTAGGCAGAGATCGCCAGAGCTGGAAACGGGCTGGTTCTTTTGGAGTTGCCGGCTAGGCCTTGGGCGCTGCTTTCTCCGCATGTTAATTTGTTCTTTCTTGGCTGTGCATCAGCCATGGTGGAAGCCTCTTGAACAATTTGCATCTGCTTTCAACCAACACAGGTATCCATAGTCGGTCACGTCTGTTGAGCCAGCAGGAGGGCAAAATTTGATGGTGTGTTTTTTAATGTGAGAAGTTGATCCAAGTGGATTTTAGAATATTGCGTTGCTCACACATCTACGCATGTGTTGAATGCACACATAGCCATTTGCTCACACAGGTACTATGTGTGTGTCCACCTTGAGCCCCTGGTGAGGTCTTACAACACCACATAGCCAACAGCTTGTGTCAAAGGCGCCCTTCAAAGAGGCCCATGACCAGCAGCTCCCTGCAGCAAAGTTACAGCCTCTGAGAGGTCTGTGCCAGAATCAATATTAACTCGCTTGCCTCTTATGAGCCACAGTCCTGTTCCGAAGGGCAGCGCTTACGTTAGACCTGGCAATGAAATGATTGTTCAGATCATCTGTAGAGAAAACAGTAATCCACTCAGACGTGAGGACAACGCTAAGAACCTTTTGGAAACAATCCTAATCAGGAACAATGAAGACACCCTCTCAGTTTGACATGGGAGTGTTCTGTATTCTGGACCATGGCCCTTTTGGATCTGTTCCTCAAGGAAAGTATCAGAAGAGGAGGCCCACTGGAGGTCCTGCACATGTAGGTGTATCCCACTCATTTGTGCCCCCTGTGTGCTTCAGTAACAATGTGAAATACATTCCTTGTTCTTGACACTTCCGGCTGTTCCAGCATGACTAGAAGCAAAGAACTTTCAAGCTGTGTGTGTGATTTTCTTTTTTTTACCGAAAGCATGGCAAGGGCTCGTTCCTCCCTGCAAGTTGTGCATTTCTTTGCAGTGTGCAGACAACACCCACAAAACCTCTCTTCGCAAAAAAAGAGTGCCCTTTCCCTTACTTAAAGGCTCCTTGTTAATAAAAGATGCAAATAACCCATCCATGGCTTCTAATCCCTTGACATCCATCCAAACAACAGCAGCCACCATAGTTCTGAGCAGCAGCCAGTTTGAGCACTCTGTATGCTTTCCCTTCCCAAAGCTCCTGCTCTCAGTAATACCCAGTAACTTGGACAAAAAGCACTCACACTGTTGCAGAGAGGAGGGGGAAATTGCATTGTCTCATCCTAGGGCACGATGAGACAAATGAGGACTTGAATCTCTTTGCCTGAGTGATATCTACGGACTCTGTTTCCTTTGGAGAAAAGATGCAGAAAATATCAAGTCTTTACAGCAACCCGTTAATTTTTCATAATGTGCAGAAACAAACATGCTAGATTCACAACATCAACAACTTGATCCCTGGAAATACTAAACATACCATCTCTGTCATGAATAAATTGTTGCTTTCCAGTTCTGTGCTTTTTCTCTCTCTCTCTCCTCCCTGCCAGGATGAACCTCTTGTCGCCTGGCCCCAGCACAACCTGTAAGGGATGCAGCTGTTCATCAGCATTGGGCCGCACCTCTTCAATTTTCTGGGAAACCTGCCGTTCTCCAAACAGTTTAGTTTATCCGAGGTATAACTAACTGAGCTTCATACAGTCAAGCAATGAATCGCTAATGTTTTTGGTAAAGTTACCAACTTGCTTCCAGGAAGACGTTCACTGTAGGCATTGTCTAGAGAACAAGTCAGGTAATGCCAGAAAGTCAAGCTCAAGCAGAGGCTGGGAAATCAACAAATCAAGGTCAAGGTTTCCCAGACGGTGCCAATGCTAGAGAGGGTAATGCCAAACGAAGATCAACAATCCAAGAAGCGTAAGACAGAACAAGAACAGTCCGAGTTGTTCGTAACAAAAAATCAACAACAATCCAGCAGGTAAGGAACTCCAGCCGTAGAGTCAAGGTCAAGGAAGTGCAGGAGATGAGACCAGGAGGTAAGAGTCAAAAAGTACAGTACGGCCCCCTTAGCCGTTGGACCAGTACCCACTAATTCACTTTTCAACGGTCTAAAAATATTAAAAGGAAAAAAATATATATCCAGAAAAATGAATGTGCTATTGTCCACGGTTTTCAGTATCTGCATGGGGGGGGGGGGATACTTGGAACCCATTTCCAGCAGATATGGGGGCCCTAGTGTAACCTGCATGTAGGCTCTGAATACAGGAGTTGTAGGGAGCTCAAGGGGAAGCAACCCAGGGGTGCTCAAAATAGATGTCAATTATCCTGAGAACGAGGGACTCCAAAGGATAGTCGCCTATAAGAAAAAGCTTGAGAATCCCTGATGAGCTCCATGCTGTCTGCCAGCCCTAGAACATTTTGTCAAGAGTGAGCAGAAACAGCAGGTTTTGTTTGGCCAAGATCGCAATCGCTCATTCTGCAGGAGCCGTGTCCTCTGATAGACAGGAGGCAGCTGGGCTTTGATCAGCAGCTCAGCGTTGCTCCCAAATGAGCAAAACATTCGCACAGTTTTTCCAAAGACAAGACAAGACATTCAGAATCACAGAGACACCGGTTGCCTGCATACAGCATGTTGTTGCTACAAAGGAAACTGGACAGATTTTAATTAGACGAGAGGTTCAGGTAATAGCTTTCCTTTCAGAGGCTAACAGAGGCACAGAGCATTGTCGTAAATGTATTTTGAGAATCTGAATTGCACTTGGATGAGGCACTGGTTTCATTTATCATGTGGTCCCTGGGAAAGGGTTGAGATCTATGGGCCTCATTTATTCCTCTCCAATGAATCATCTCTAGAGAATTCGTTTCTCAAGTATCCTAATAAAAGCCCTGAGTCTAGGTCAGAGCAGCAGATTTAATTAACCTGTTTATTTGGCAATTTTTTTAAAAAAGGTAAGAGAACAGGAGAGCATCCATTAGGCATGTAATAAAAAGAAAGCCTATGTCCCATGATGCTGAAAATTACACAGCCTTATAAAATGCCTAATGCTTTATATTGCCACTAGATGGAGGGTTACTATTATTCCACTAATTCTGTCAGTGTATCCTCATGTCCCATGAAGGTGGCAAATGAGGCAGAAATATGTTGGGCTTTCCACCAATAAAAATGCTGAAAGTCTCTCCTGTTATTTTTATAGCCATCCCAAACACACTTCCAAAAATGTGCACGCAACAATAATTAAAATGCAAGTTTACACCGATGCATTTTAAAAAAATCAGAAAGCATCATGTTTGGATGGATAATGATTATAGACACAAACGATAAGATGTGAGGGGGATAATAATACCTGGGTGGTGGACAGCGTTATGTTCTGAGAGCAGAAATTGCAGAGCTGGAAGGGACCTTACAGATCATCAAGGCCAGTCCCTATCAAGAATGCAGCTTGGGGGGGGGGCGGGAATCAAACTCCCAACCCCCTGGCTCCACGGCCAGAGACCTAAACCACTGAGCTGGCCAGTAGAAGACATTATTGGGGTACACAAGAGCAAAAACGACCCTCCACCAACAACTTGCATAAAGACTTTTATCGGCCATAGATTCATACATTTTCCTCATCTGGATGCCTGAAGCCATTATTTACTCAGCAGGCACTGCTTTCAGCGACGGATGGAGAAGAGGGAGCAGCTAACAGGGAAAGACTCAATGGACATCCACTCTTGGGCGACCGTCTCTCCTCTTCCAGGTTAAAATAAAGGATAAGTGCTTTTCAGGACATCTGTGGATTCATGAAGACACTGTCGAGAAGGCCAGGATTATATTGTGGGAGAAAAAAACATTACCTACCTCTTAAGTTGGAGAGAACCCCATGAAAGTCTAGCTGGAATCACATGGCGAATTGGATTGCCTGGAAGTCATTTAGTAGTCTGCGGAGCAGATTTAGTAGAACCAAAGTAAAGCTAAGAAAATGGGTTTTTCCCCTCACCAACACAGTCCTTTTGTGAGTGCAAAAAAAGGACAGCCAGTTTCCCTTATGCCCCTCAACATGTACAGTGGAAGACGTGCTGTTAAGTTGCCTCCAAATGCTCTTGATAATTATGCAGTGCTGAGTGCAAATAATCTGATGTATTTATCTCAGTATTGCGATCTGTTAGGAAGGAAGGACGGACGGAAGGAAGGAAAGACAGACAGAGACGGAAGGTCTCCCTGCACCCGTGGCTGTCACCTTTTCTCCAGTGCTCCCCACTGTCCTCGTTGAGGAGTACTCACCTGCACCGTCTTTGCTTTTAGTGACTGTAGAAGGAAGAGACGTGATTAAAAGTAGGGTCACACAGAAGATTTATACAAAAGCAATACAACATGGGCAGTTTTATTTCATCCCTTTTCCTAATGACCCCCAACATGGATTCTGCCAACTTCACAGCTTCTGGTTTGACATTTCCTTTTGGGTACCCTCTGCAAGCAAGACCGACATGTATTCATCCAGTTATTTGACATGCGTTTGGCAAGAATGTCAGAATAAGAAATATAAAACTCGCCAAGTCCACCTCCCTTTATTTGACATGAGACTATTTGTAATGGATCATTGAGAACTCAAAAAAAAAGGGGGGGGGAAAGGAAAAAAGGAAAGAAAGAAAAAAAAACCCACCTGAGATCAATAGCCATTGTTTTGTTCATGCGCCAGGAAAAAAAAAAAGGCAAGATTTTATAAGCCAAATAATGGATGCCATTTTTTGGATCCAGGATCCACTGTTCTTACAGAGTTTCTTCACACTCTGCTTCCAACTGGAAATACAGATTCCGTTTTAGGGAAAATGGAAAGCAACAAGCTACAAATATGAAAGTTTAAATTAAAAAAGGACAGCTTTGTTCAGAATGCATTATTTACATCATTCTTGGACTAGCACATACACTGATGTTGGTAGCTGCACCACAGTAAAACCCAAAACGCGGGCATCGTCATGTCCGATTATACGCGACTTGTCTTTTCACCACTGCAGCTGTTTACGGAGAACTGTGAGGTCCCTACGTTTACTTCCAGAGCATCCTCTGTCTCATCCAGCTCCATGCTGTTGAGTTCATTGCCGTTGCGGTAACTGTTCAAATTGAGGTCCTTCCCGTACAAAGCTGTCGACGAGACGTTCGGACACTGGCCGTGGCGCTGCGTGGACTTCTTGCCGCTGTCGTAGCGGCAGCGGATGTAATTGGAGAACGCCCTGCGGTAAATTTTGTTGAAGAGAGTGTACACGAGGGGGTTGACCCCAGAGCAGATGTAACCCACCCATACAAAAACATCCAGGAGCTCCCCCAAAAGCGCCTCATCGCAAGCTTCTTTGCAGAGAACGGACATGATGTTGGTGATGAAAAACGGGCACCACATGATGAGGAAGAGGAAGAAGACGATCCCCAAGACCTTGGAGGCTCTCCGCTCGTTGTTGATGGACTGCATGGTGCCCTTGCGGAAAAGCACCCCTTCCTTGTTCACGGGAGAGTTTAAGTGCGAGGCAGCCTCGTGGTTCTGCAACATGGAAAGGTTCTCCGTGTTGTTCTCCTTCCTGAGGCAGTTCATGCTGCTGCGCCGTTGCTTGGGGGTCTCCCCGTACAGGAAGACGGACGCCTGCTTTTGCAACACCTGGATGGTCAGGCAGTAGGCGAACACCATGATGATGAGAGGGATGAAGAACGCCACGAAGGAGCCGATGAGGACAAAGTTCTCGTCGTTCAGCACGCAGCTTCCGTTCACAAACACCCGTGAATCGTCCTGCAACCCGATGACTGGGATGGGCATGGAGATCCCTACAAAGGTCATTCCAGGAAGAAGAATAAAAATAAACAAAGAGAAAAATGAAGAAACGGTCATTCCACACAATTGATAACCCCTTTCATTGGGAGACAGCAAGGTGTATATATTCTCAAGAATGAGAGAAGCAAACGTTGACCTGCATGTTGCAAAGACCAACAAAGGTAGGGAGACCTAGAACCGCCTTCAAGTTGTTCTCTTCAGGGGAGAAACCTGGAGCCCTCTTGGTTCTCAATACAAACTGATCTGTAATTCAGTCTTGGCATGTGCCCAGAAGGGTCATCTTAAAAGGGAATACCCTGACACTTTTTCAACAACTTTATTATCCCCGTTGGGCCACCAACAGCTGTCCTGTGGTGTGATCTTTTTTTTTTTAAAGAAGACAACTCCATCTTTCCATGGGAGCTCATGCTCTGTCCAAAAAGTACACCCCCATTCCTTTTATTACCATTAAACAAAAAGCCCATGAAGCCATTGATTATTGATGTGTTATCCTTGCATTCCTTGTTGCTCGGTAGGGCTTGGCAGGGTGAAGTTACAGCAGGAATGGAGAGGTCATGTCCCTCCAGGTGTTGATACCTTGGAGTGCCCCTCATTTCCCCACCATGGCCTGTGCTGGCTAGGACACCCCTTGGTATACAGCAGGGGTGAGGGGGTGGAGACCCACTCCAGTAGGTCTGGAAGATTATTTTCTGCCCCCAGGATCCAAAATAGCAAAGAATCCCCTAAATGAAAAAGAAGCAAACCTGAAACAAAAACAACAAAACCCCCAGATAGGTGTGTTTTTTTTGGGGGGGAGACCACTTGCACTTCTGAGAAAAAGCCCACACCCTGGTGTTAATAGGTCACTGGAGAGGGGGCATATAATCTATGCAAAGGATCGACCGCTGCTCCTGGAGGCTTCTCTGGAAAATTAATGTTTTGGCAGGGGAGCGGCCTATTTTGGGGTGTCTGATTGCACTGGAGGCTGCAAAATCAGGTTTCAGGGCTGCACTTTGCTCTCCCCTGTTTACTGGAAGGACCCCAAACGCCACAGCAACACGCAGGTCTTTTCAATGCCGCTGCTGTTCAACAGATCTGCGGGAGAAAGCGGACAATAACGTGATGTTCCACTAGAGGGAGCCCCAGCCCCAGACTGGCCAGCCATCTTGGGACAGGCTGCTCAAAACCTGGAAGCTGAAGTGTTTTGTCTTAATTTTTTCTGCAAAACAAGGAGGTCCACCGAGGCAACCTCCTCTCTCAGACCGTCCTTTTTTCTAGAGACAAACAATCCAAGTTGCAAATGTCAGTCTGCCTCTGTGTGTGTGTGCGCACGCGCACAAACACCCACACCCACACCCCAAACTCTGATATCAGCTGCCTTGTTGCATGGCTTTTTTAAAAATAAGAAGCATCCGGTAGTGTTTTTTATTTGCAGCTTCTTAAAACAAGTGGCCAGTCCTTTTATGTTTGCTGTTCATGCAGCTTCCCTCTTTAAAAGGACATTAGCTTTACAGAGACCCCCGTGGAGATATTTTGTACAAACGGTATAAAACTTTGATGTGAGCAAAAGGTTTCCTTTTTCTGGCTCTCGCCTTTGGAAGCAAGAAAGCTTGTGGGACCTTGAAATTCCTAATCTGCAAAATCTAGAAAACTGAACTAAGAGAATCTAGAAAACACCATTTTTAGAGGGATTGTTGGTTGGAGCAGATTCCCCTTGGAAGGGAAAACGTCCTCTTAACTCTGGATGCTTGTTCACCCATGTCCTAAGAGTCCATGGCTGGGTTTTTCTGAGAAGCCCATCTTAGCAAGGGAAAATGGGGTTTGGAGTCCTAGACCTCGTGTTGGGAAAAGCTGCTTTACCCCAGGTTGGTTTGGTTTTAGCCAGTTTAAGATGCTCACTGGAAATCACAATGGACATCAGATAGGACACTTTTCCAGCCTGCTAAAAAGAAGGGTTTCTCGTTCCCAGCAAAAAATCCATTATCATCTGACTGTACAGCTGAGATGAATGCAAATTTATGGATCTTGTTTGTTTAATACATGCTCTGGAGCTAAAAGAGTCGAGGTGACGTAGCTGGTGTGGCAGGGAGGAGGGGCTTACCTATCGAGATAGTCCAGACGGCGGCAATTTTCATGATGGCCTTGGTGCGGGAGTTGAAGCGGCTGTGCTCGATGGGGTTACGGATTGCGACGTACCGGTCGAGGGAGATGGCGCAGAGGTGCATGATAGAGGCGGTGGAAAAGAGGACATCTAGGGAAATCCAGATGGGACACAATTGTTTAGGCAAAGGCCAAGCATAATCTGAAACACAGAGAGGGAAAGAGAAGGAAAGAAAGAAAGGAGAAGTAAGGAAGGAAAGAGACCAGCGATTCGGGGAAAGGCTGATTGATGTGGCCGAGAGCAAAAGAAAGGAGCTCAGTCCAAACCTTTAGGCTGGCGGACCTGACGCTGCAGAGGTGATGGATCCGCTCCAAGGGTTAGTAGGAACTTCAAGGAGTTCTCCAAGGTGCTGGCGCCTGCTCCGCCAACGAGGGTCAAAGGGCTCGTTTAAAATTTAGACTAAAACCCAAAGCAGGCTCCCTACTCTTACGACAGAGGAGTCAGCAGCCTCCCTTGGCCAGAATTGTATGGAAGGGGCCCCGCCAGACACCCCAAGTTTAAAGACCCAAAGTAGTCCGTAAGAGCCCTCATGCTGCAGTGTATTTCAAGGAAGACACAGGCGTGCTGGTAAAAACATTCCCTTATTTCCTTCTCTTGGGGAAGGATGAAACATTTCTAGAGTTACCTCGCTGTTACATGAGAGGATGAGAACTGTGAGCATCATAGCTCATTTGGGAGGTTTGGGCAAATAAGTCCTGGAAACAGCTCCTCCCCCCCACCCCAGAAAAGGTTGAGACACCCTTACCCCCAAAGATCCCCCTTGTATTTTGTTTGTGGGGAGGGGTTTGGTTGAAGATGACATTATTTGCTAATGCTGCTGATGAGGAAAGCAGGTGGTGGTCTTTTCACTTCAAAATGCAGGACTTCTAAACCTTCCGGCGGTTGGCCACCTTTTCAACCAGGCTTGATGTATTGATGTGCTAAGACACCCTTTCCGGTGGAAGATGAGAAAAATGTGTGACTCCATGGGCAGGGAAAGTCTTTATGTTGGTTGTTGACGGAGGGTCGTTTCTGCTCTTGCCTACCCCAGTAATAATTCTCTACTGGACAGCTCACTGGTGTTGGTCTCTGGCTGTGGAGCCAGAGGGCTGGCAGTTCGATTCCCCCTCTGTGTGTCTCCTGCGAGCAAAGCCAGCCTGGGTGGCCTTGGGCCAGCTGCACACAGTCCCAAGGTTGCCCCCTAGAGGAAGGGAAGGGTAAATAATTTCTGTGTGTTCTCTGCCTCAAAAACCCTGCAAAGGGCTCGCCATAAATCAGAATTGACTGGACGGCACATCGCCACCATCGCTCCAGTAGTAAACACCTCTGAAAGCAGCTCGAGTCTTGGCTATCACGAATAACATGGACTGTGCACATCAGCCTCACCTGTGTGTCTCATTGGTGCCAATAGTTTGATATTTACTTTATAGTCAACACCATCTGATCTCCAGCCAGTTGTAACTTGCCTCTTACCGAGGGTCCCGGTGGAGAGGGTGCAAGGAATGGCTTTTAATCCCCATTGTTCCCCTGCCATGTATCGAAATGGACTTTTGAAAACATCGACCATGTTTTATGGGATAATGCGTCAATTAATTCATTGTCTAGTGACGAAGTGTTTATTGTTCCACGTCTGCAAGAACTTCATACAAGAGTTACTTTAGATCTCTATTGTTAAAGTGGGTCTCATTCATTTTTTTAGCTGCCATGGGCTCCTTACTGGAAAAACAACAACAACAGAATTTGGCTTAAAAAAAAAAAGCAAGCATGATTGATATCACTAGCAGGGCCAGCCTAGGGAGTGAGAGTCTGTTGATGGGGTGCCGTTTCCAAGAATGGACAACACCGAGGGCCGCGACTTGGAATTCCGTTTCCACCTGCAAATTGTTCAGCCACCCGGCAGCACAGAAAACATCCCTGTCGGGGATTCTAGGAATTGCAGTAAGAAAAGGAAAAGAAAAAAAGGAAAGGAAAGGAAAGGCATTTTTTTCTCTCCCAAGCCAGAGGTTGTCCTGGTGGAAGCAAGCCATGGCAGAAGCAGCAAATTCACCCCAAGGCAAACCAGGTACCACCACACAGATATTTCCAAGGCAAGGAGGAACTCAGTCTTCCTCTGGGCCACTTTTAATTAAACAAGGCATGTGTAGCTTAATGAATCTGATCTCCCAAATCCCTCGCTTGGAGGGATGACGATCCACCTAAGAAGGATAATGCAGATGTTCAGTTTCTTTCCAGGGCATTCTCTAGCTGTTAGTCCATCTGTTTTAACTTACATTTACTCAACTATTAATGAACTATGGCATGTAAAACAGGGCCAGAGGGGTCGTTCTCCAAGGACGTTAAGAGAGTGGACCTTGAATGTTGGGAAGGGGCCAGAAAGGTTGGTCGCTCCAGGTTTTAGTGTGAATTTTAAAAGAGCTCTCCCAGGCATCAAACATATTCTGGGGATAGGGCTCAGCACCATGAGGAGTTCTTGTATGGTTCGGACCAAAACCTGGCACCTATTCAGTGCCCCCCCTCCCCACCCATGGAATCATAGTCTCTGGCCTCCCCAAGAAGACACGTCTGGGGCCTTTGGTTCGTCATGACTCCTTATGAACCTTAAACTGTCCTACTGGCTTGCAATTCAGGTGGCTGTGAGAGTAGGAAGAATAACACCATGTTACTCAAATGATTTTTCAAGAAACGCAAGCCGTCGGTTGCTCCCCTTTAGAGAAATTAAGGGGAAAGCCCTCTGTGGAGTATAATAACAGTCTTAACTAGCTTTGACACCCCTTCCAACCTCAGCTTTGTTGTAGGTAAGTCAGGTTTGGCCACCCAAAGCTCAGGTTTCGTCGCTCATGCGTAACCCTGCAGCTGGCAGATCAAACCTGGGTTGAAATGGGCTTCTTCTAACTGCAACTTAGCTTTAGTGGAACCGTTAGTGGAATCAAGAGAATTTATGCAATGGTGGACTCCCTTCATCTCCATTGATTCAATGAGCTTTCTCTAGTGCAATTTACCATGCTGAGGAATGAGCCAATGTGGGCCAGGGAGGTATGCTGAATCATGTCACTCAGCCTGAGGCCAGCATGAGCCTCAGGCTCTGCCAGGATGCTAGCCCTTAAGGCCCAGACAGATTATTTAAAAAAAAATAGCACTGCCCATAAGGAAGCCACTTCATACCAACCCTAGGCTGCGAGCGTACGTATGTGGAATATCCCAAACAGCCCTGGCTTCACCAACTCAAGACAGAAGATTGCTAGGGTGGAAAAGCTGCAGCAACAGGTCAGCGAGAGATGATCCAGAGACGACTGCAAGATTATGCCTTCTTACTGTAGACGGCACTACAGTGAAAAGACCAGCGTTCTGTTTCCATTTAAACAAAAAAACCTGTTAACTGCACAAGCGTTTGTATTTTCATGCAAACCCCCCCAGCTTATTTTCACATTAAAAAATATATATTGTGCTTAATACCAGAGAGGGTTTGTCCCACAATATACTTTTTGTACGCGTGTGGACATGCCCAAAATAGAAGACCTTTGCAGGCGGAAAACCCTACCTCACCCCCTTTTAAAGTTTGCAAACAGTGAGCTCACAGGTTTCCCACCCACACCCACACCCAACTCTCACAGTCTCACCCAGCAGGGAGAAAAAGTTGGGCACTGTTTCATTTGTACCTGCAAGAAAGGAGGACCTGAAGAGGCAACCTCATGGGGGAGGGGGGGTCTCTTCACCCACAACACACAGAGACACCAGCCTATGCTTTCCATGGGGCAGAAGTGTTAGATTCAGCCTTGCTTGCTTACAGTCAGTTTGAATATATTGCATTTCCCCCCCTACCTGCTGCAGACAGTACAGAAATAGCGGATAATTAAATGGAGTTTTAACATTCCATGCACTTCATGATTCTGCCAGGAGAGCAAAGGGATTCCCCCTCCCGTTCCCTCATGTCAAAATATAGCAAAGGGATTCCCCCTCCCGTTCCCTCACTCATGTCAAAATACGGAGCAGCAGTGTCAGGTGCTGAAAGAAGGGGGGAAACCGCCCTCTCCCACTGTCTGTGCTCCGTTCCCAGACAAGCGATTCACAACAACATTTCCCCGTCGTCTGGAGGAGGCAGGCACTTAATGGCTCCCATCATGCCACTCTCAAGCTAAGAGGGACGGGACAATTAGCTTAATCAGCCCATTTTGTCACGGCTGATCTTTAAAAACAAGAGTGCCCTTCCAGGTGGGTGCAGGAAGGTTCAAGGGCATTGTTGATGTCACTAGGTAGACGCAGAAAACAGATATGCTTTTGGTATGCCACCACCAAGACACGGACATGCTGCGTGGCAACAGGATTTTGCTTGAGGGAGCCATTTCTCAGTTTTATTTTTACGGAAGCCGCCAATCCATCTCTGGACTGTGCAATTTCAGACAGTGAGTCATAGACTTGCACATGCGAAAACCAGAATGAGAGAAACATTCTAATCAGAGATGCAAATGCATCAAACATCTCGTTTATGTTTGAGATTTGCTGTCTGGCTCATGCCCGACTTGCATACAAGGGCAAAGAAAGGGAGGTTACTTACCTGTAACTTCCATGAATGCACACAAAGGAGTGACTAGCAAGCTCACTTACCGGAAGGAGGGCCGTCATGCCAACAATGACATCAGCACAGCCCTTCTGAAATTTGCTTCCTTCTTGGCCCTGAGGTCCAGACGGTAGTGTGTCACAAAGGTCGATGGTGTGGACCAAGTGGCTGCTCAACAAATGTCAGAAACATCAATGCCGTGCAATAAGGCAGTCGAAGTAGCCATAGCTGTCGTAGAATGCACCTTTAATGCATCTGGTGGAGCTTTGCCAGCCAGTTCATAGGCCAAGGTGAGAGTAGACACGATCCACCTAGAAATCGTCTGTGAGGAGGCAGGAGAGCATTTACGTGGGCCATGGAAGCAGACAAATAATCTAGGGGAAGTGTGGAAGTCTTTAGTCCTAGAAGTGTAAAATGCTAAGGCACAATGAACATCCAAAGAATGGAGCATGCGCTCAGTGTCCGAAGACGGATCAGGGAATAATATCGGAAGAATCAAAGGTTGATTAACATGAAAACTTGATAAAACTTTGGGAAGAAAGGAGAACATCAGGATATAAGACAACGTTGTCTGGGTGGAATTGTATATAAGGGGCATCAGCCCGAA